TAAAGTACGAAAAAATAGATTTCGCTCCTTGTAACAAATCAATTATGGTAAATAAGCTTCTTTCAACCACTCTGAAACAATTTCTAAGATGGGTTAAATCTCCGCTTACCTGTTAATAACTGATAAAACTCGGTTCAAAAACTCTGACACTAAACTTTTCTCTACTTTGGTCTTTATATTTGGCCTTTAAGTCAGTTTTTTTTCATTTCCGTTTAATTTTTACCAAAACTTTTCCTGGAGGGAGAAATTTGATGCGAAATTAATCGCGGTTTGTTATATTACTTGTGTACTACCTAGTCTGTCAGGTACTTGTCACGTATTCTCTAGTTTCAGAATTGTAATCGGTTCTCAAGGTCTTTGACGGCCTATCATCGCTATTCTAAATTTGATGTTAAAAACGCAGTTTCTCTTTTCTCAAATTAGGAAATACTTAAGTCGATAGCTATGTTTTTTTATTCCTCATGACATTACTACTTATTATACTCTAATTACATATTTAACTTTCAAGAACCAATTGAATCTTGGTCTTAGTCTTTTCGATTCAGTATTTTTCGGAACCACAATAGAGAAAGTGCTTCAGAAAATTTCAGTTGAAATAGTTATCGGTTCATGATTTCCATAACCAAAGTAAACAATACTGCTCGCATCAGTGCAAAGCCCTGAATGTTCCGACTGCCTTATAAGGCTTATTGAGCTGTTATAACATTATATATTTTCAACGAATAGTAATAAAAAATGAAGAAAAAAATTCTAAAATTTGAAACTTTTTCTATAAAAACCATCCCCCACACGCCATATAAATTTGAAATAAGAGATTTCGCTCCTTGTAACAAATCAATTATGGCAAATAAGCTTCTTTCAACGACTCTGGAACAATTTCTAAGAAGGGTTAAATCTCCGCTTACCTGTTAATAACTGATAAAACTCGGTTCAAAAACTCTGACACTAAACTTTTCTCTACTTTGGTCTTTATTTTTGGCCTTTAAGTCAGTTTTTTTTTCATTTTCGTTTAATTTGTACCAAAACTTTTCCTGGAGCGAGAAATTTGATGCGAAATTAATCGCGTTTTTGTATATTACTTGTGTACTACCTAGTCTGTCAGGTACCTGTCACGTATTCTCTAGTTTCTGAATTGTAATCGGTTCTCAAGGTGTTTGACGACCTATCACCGCTATTCTAAACTTGATGTTAAAAACGCATTCTCTCTTTTCTCAAAATAGGAAATACTTAAGTCGATAGCTATGTTTTAATATTCGTCATGACATTACTACTTATTGTACTCTAAATACGTATTTATTTTTCAAGAACCAATTGAATCTTGGTCTTAGTCTTTTCGATTCAGTATTCTTTGGAACCACAATAGAGAAAATGCTTCAGAAATAATCAGTTGAAACAGTTATCGGTTCATTATTTCAAAACCAAAGTAAGCAAGACTGCTCCCATCAGGGCAAAGCCCTGAAGGTTCCGACTGCCTTATAAGTCTTATTGAGCTGTTATAATATTATATATTTTTAACGAATAGTAATAAAAAATGAAAAAAAAATTCTAAAATTTGAAACTTTTACTATAAAAATCAACCCCACACGCCATATAAAGTACGAAAAAATAGATTTCGCTCCTCGTAACAAATCAATTATGGTAAATAAGCTTCTTTCAACCACTCTGGAACAATTTCTAAGAGCGATTAAATCTGCGCTTACGCGTTAATAACGGATAAAACTCGGTTCAAAAACTCTGGGACTAAACTTTTCTCTAATTTGATTTTTATATTTGGCCTATAAGTCAGTTTTTTTTTCATTTTCGTTTAATTTGTACCAAAATTTTTCCTGGAGGGAGAAATTTGATACCACATTAATCCCGCTTTATTGTATTACTTGTGTACTACCTAGTCTGTCAGATACCTGTCACGTATTCTCTAGTTTCAGAATTGTAAACGGTTCTCAAGGTGTTTGACGACCTATCACCGCTATTCTAAATTTGATGTTAAAAACGCATTCTCTCTTTTCTCAAAATAGGAAATACTTAAGTCGATAGCTATGTTTTAATATTCGTCATGACATTACTACTTATTGTAATCTAAATACGTATTTATTTTTCAAGAACCAATTGAATCTTGGTCTTAGTCTTTTCGATTCAGTATTCTTCGGAACCACAATAGAGAAAGTGCTTCAGAAAACTTCAGTTAAAACAGTTATCGGTTCATTATTTCAAAACCAAAGTAAACAAGACTGCTCGCATCAGGGCAAAGCCCTGAATGTTCCGACTGCCTTATAAGGCTTATTGAGCAATAATCATAATATAAATTTTTAATGATTTAAATGTAATAAGAAAAAAAAATTCTAAAATTTGAAACTTTTTCTATAAAAACCATATAAAGTACAAATTAATAGATTTCGATCCTTCTAACAAATCAATTATGGCAAATAAGCTGTATTCAACTACTCTGGAACGATTTCTATGACTGATTAAATCTCCGCTTACGCGTTAATAGCACGAAATATATCGCGCGTTAATTGACCCAAATTGGCCAAAATGGCCATTTTTAAACCCTCATAATTTTACGAAATATCTTTTCAAATATCTTTTCGGATAGGTGAAATATCTTTTCAAATTTAAGCTCAGGACAATAATAGTTTTTGAATGATTTAAAAAAGTTTCGTCAGAAATGATTAGGTAAAAAGTCGAAATTTGTCTGAAGAAAAAAAACCCACCCGAGCACAAATATTCCGTTACTTTCGTATCGAAATCGGAACATCAAGACTGCTCGCATCAGGACAAAGCCTTGAAAGCTGCAACGGCCCTTTTAGGTCTCTAGAGCAGTATTAACATGAAAAAATTAAATTTATTAAATTAAAAAGAAAAGTTTTTTTACGCATGAGATCTTTTGTGAAAATCATCCCCATAAAAAGTACAAAGTGAATGATTTCAGTACTAATAACAAATCAATTGGAGCACAAAAGATTCGTTTATTCAATTTGGAACAATTTCCAAGACTGATTAAATCTCTGTTTACGCGTTAATGACGCGAAATATATCGCGCGTTAATTGTCCTAAAATGGCCGGTCAAAATGACAATATTCAAACCAATATAACTTACAAAAAAACATACACAGTTGAAATATTTTTTGAAATTTAAGCTTAAAACAACAATACTTTTTGATTGATATAAAAACAATTCCAAAAAAGGCTAGTTAAAAAGTCGAAGTTTGTCTGAAGAAAAAAAAACCCAACGAGCACAAATTTACCGTTACTTTTGTTACTTAAGTCATAACAATTTTTTCCGTCAAAAATCTTGATTATTTTATTGCAGATGAATTGCAATGAAAATATATCAGTCCTCAACTTCCAATTGTAGGAAACGTTTGCCATTTTCATTCTTAATTGTTCAAAAGGATGGAACATGTTCACCAGTGTGTTGTTTATGAGTTATTTGTCAGTATAAGAAATGATTTGTAATAGTATTCGGTCAATTATAATGAGTACAATAAGGATTGATTTCACGCACAGATATCAGGTTTGATAAGGTTTTTTTGTATAGATAAGCTTGATTTGATCTCAAGAAATGTGAAAAATTTCCAAAATTATTAAAACAACTCCAGAAATCCTTCTGAAATCAAACTGATTAGATGCTAGGGACAAAGACGGCGCTTAAATTATTAATACAAGTAAAGAACACGGCTCAGCAGTGAGCTTGTTAAAAATGTATGTATCAAATTCAGACATATCGAATTTTGAGCTGAAGTTTTTAACATTCCGAAACTGACTGTGTATTTTGTGAATTGTAATTGGATTCCGCTACAAGGACGTCTCTTTGTTGTTCTTCTGTTCGTTCAATTTCTTCGATCGTTCCGACAAAATCTTGAAACGTTTAGAGACTTGGTTCTGGAGCCCAGGATTATAAAGACACAGAACTGTGCTTTTATCCAGTGCACAGTTTTGCCTTGTAATGAAACTTTGAACGAATGTACCAAAAATTTCATCAAAAGTTGCTGATGTTCCAAAAAAAAACCACCAGATAACAAACATTCCGTCGCTTTTTCAAAAATTGGAATAATTATTGAACACTGGGATATCTTTTTGTCTGGTTATTAGTCGTTGACTATCGTAACTGTTTCACCGTGGACCTTTGAATTACTTGTTTTTAAAGAAACATTGATTTTTTTTTAGTTATGACAGGTTGAAGAAAAATATTTTTTTTTCTGCGCAAAACAAAGTTGAAGCATACCCCTATAGCTATAGGTATGTTATGACTCAAAGCTCACGTTGAATGGCTATCATTGATTTCTATTAAAAAGTGTTTTGCACCAACTTGATCAAAATCGGAAAATTTATACGTTTTTTTTTCAAGTAGGCTTCATATTTAACAAAAAGTGATTGTACGCAATATGAAAAAGATTAATTTTAATATTAATCACAAAATCAAAACATTACTGCAAATATGGTTCGGTTTTAGCTTGTTTTAGCGGAAAAAATTGTGCTGTAACAACCTTATCAATCGCTGAGCAAGTTATCTGAAAACGAGCCTTTTTTCTACACATCAATTTTTAGAAAGAAGTATTCAAATGTTTTTAAGTTTTGATTTGTTTTTTAAGTTTTCAAAAATTATGATTTTGTTTTTAGTTTTACTATGAGAGACACACTGTGTTATAATTTACCCACCTAAATGCGCCAAATTTTTTCGCACTAATTTAGGCGTGTTTTCAGTTGGCTAAAACGTTTCAAACTGACACATGATCCCGGGTATTGACTTTTTGAAAACAAATTGCGCTAGATTATGGTAAACTCCCTTTGGTTGTGGTCCATTTATCTAACAGCACCAGACAATTTTTATTAACTGTTTTTTTACGCGTTTTAAAATTTTATTTTAAGAAAAAACGCGTTAAAAACGTGTTTACGCGTTTTTGCACCATAATTTCAATCAGCGCTGCAGTTGTTTTTAACAAAATTAGGAAAACATGCGTTCAGCGCGATTTTCATTAGCTAGAGCAACTCTGCAAGTATGTCAAATGAATTTGGTTAAACTTCACATTTTAAGAAACACTCAAAACTTACTAAATACTATGATTTTTTTGTTACATGGGAGTATTATAAAACTGATGTTAAGTTATAAAAAAATTAAACAAATTAAAATGAACTCCATACTCGAACTCTTCAGCTTTTCGCCCAATCAGTCCATGTTCAACGCAATCCTTGTGAATATCCAATCATGAAAATAAGGAATACTAGTGAAATCTGCTTGACCTTTGCAGTCTCTCAACGGACTCTCATCTTTCAAAGTCGGGGTTGCGATTCCCAGAAGACAGAGAGGTCTTTGAGAAAAACATCCTCTGAGAAACAATGGACTGCCATCATCATTGTAACATAAACCAGAATCTTCAGTAAAAGTCTCGGTGCAGACTAGATTCATGGGACAAACATCAAACTGCAGCCATGAATCAATTGTCTGGAATGGAGATATTTTGAGTTTTATTTCTCGAAGAAAACCAGAAGGTTTGAAGCGACCTCGAGCGATAGATCCATGTCCCACTGCTATGACGAGCGTGTCGAAAGAAGCTGGATAGTTCTGACATATCTCAAGAATGCGGAACTTCGGCACGCTACGTTGAAGTCTGATCAAAGCCAAGTCGTTCTGATGCAGGCTTTGGTTGAAACTAAACAAAATATTAAATTTCGTCTTCTTTATTTAGGAAAATTTAACTTCAATTTTTTAGTTTCATGGATTAAAATTATAAGAAAAAAGGGTGATACAGGGACAATGACAACCGATTTCTGCGTAAAAACCACACAATCTTTCGACTTCAGCATCCTAAGTAAAGTAATTCTTGAAAAAAAATGTTACCAGACGTTTTTCTAAGCTAATCGGTTTTTCATGCAGATTTTTTGCAACTCTTTCGAGAAATTCCGAGAGCCATACCTGAAAGAAAAACTTAAGATCACTTTGGAGCAGTTAGAAATCATAAAAAAAATTATCAGCCACCAGGGGAAAAAGCCAAGAGAAAAGTCCACAAGCAAGAAATTCAAAAAACGCGTACTGACAATGAAAAACAGTGCTTTGCTGAACCATTTGAAAGATGAGACCAGCAACCCATCTACAAGTTTGCCCGACAAAAGACATGTTCCAAAAACAAAGTTGCCTAACAGAATTATCTGCGAGCTAGCAACCATTGTCCAATAGCGTCGAAATATATTACAGCGGACGGTTGGGCAATGATACAACTAGACATCTGCTACGTCTATGGCTAGGAATGAAACAATTGATTCAAAATCAGCAATCCTCATACAATATGATCTGGACGACAGATGGCAAAATCAAGTAACAGCGAAACCCTTAATGGGAATATCAATTTTCAGAAAACATCACACGTCATTCTCAAGGGACATGTTGCAAAGAACTTGAGAAGTTGCATAAAAAGTTTAATAAAGACACAGATGCTCAATTAAGATGTGAAAGATAGGAAAATAGTTCGAAACAGCGCAACATTCATTGTGACGGATCGAATCAAGAGGTTGCATTGTGCAATCAGCCCCATTCATTGAAAAGGACGAACTTAAAACAAAGTATCATAACTTAACAAAAAACTTGTATCAAATTATAACCAGACAAATCATCAGACAAGACAATGCTGAACATAGTGAAAACCATCCAATTCCACCCAAAAAAAATTGGAAAAAGAGAGTTCCTCAAAGACTGTAAGGTGATTTGTACGTACGACAAGTTAAATTTTGCAGCGAGGAGAAAATAGAACACTAGATGACCGTATTTTTTTATCAAACTGACAAGAAAAAACAAAAACACCAAGAAAAATGTTTGACCTGTACGGCATATATTACGCTAGCAATACTTGTGTAGCGCCGGACAAAGCGCTTGCTAGTAATATAGGGTCCTTTCTTCTTTCTATTTTGGAAAGTAAACACAAAACTCGCTAGAAAATATTTTATTAGAGATATTTTTACTGAGAATGGCTGATGTTTTTAGAGAGATAGGTTGGGGTGGTTTAGGATGAAAGTGTTCGAATGAATCTCAGTAGATTTCAGCTTCTATTTTTACTTCATTGGGAAGTCTCCCAACTTGTCGTATCAAATAATTTTTTTTTTAATTTCGTTATCTCTGGTGAATGTTATTCAAACAATCGTATTTTACGAGAAGAATCGTTATAACTCTTATTTAACGAAAATAGTCGTTTTATTTTCCAATACTTAAAACGTTATATGAGTTTATCCAAATGCTTTTCCATTCATTTTGCAAAGGAATATAAGCAGATTTAATTTATGGTGGCGGCGGCATAACGCTTTGTGAGCTCAAAAAACTTTGTGTTCTGTTTCAATCTGAAATCAGAACACACAACGACCGTGACCACAAAAGAAAAGCAAAGCAATGCTAGAACTAGAGATCCTATTTTCGGAGCTTAATTTCTGTACTTCTACTTGTGTACGGGTCTCCAGCAGGGAAGATCGGGTTTTTCTGTCGGTCGTAGATTGATAAAATTGAGTATTTAAATTCTGACTAAAATGTTTATCGGAAAACAATAGACAGAACAATTGAAAATAATGTTTAGGACCAAATTTCCATTGGACATCGGCAACTATTTTGCTACGTTAATTTAGCAGCAATGTTTGACAGTAAACACGAAAATTTGCAGCCGAAAACCTTTTTTTTGAGGGCAGACATAGTCAAAACATATTGGTCTTACATTTTTTGAACTTAATATTACGCAATTCTTTTATATAAATCGTGGTCTTACAAATATTACGCAGCATATTGGTCTTACATTTTTTGAACTTAATATTACGCAATTCTTTTATATAACTCTTTTATATAATATTACGCACTCACTTGAACCTCCCACCTGATCCGATGTGTATGTGTGTGTGTGTGTGTGTGTGTGTGTGTGTGTGTGGGGAAGGGGATTGGTTCAGTTGGGGTTCAAGCGGTGCAAGGGGGTTGGATCAAGTGGAGGCGGGGTTGGTTCATGTGGAGAATTGCGTGGGTAAAAGGGGGAGATGATTTAAGGGGGTAGTTATTGAAAGGAACAACAATCAGTTATTGAGTAAAATAAAAGTAACAAATATCAAAGTTGCGAAGTAAAAATTTTAATCGAACACCAAGTAACCAACTTTAGTTGAAAACGTTGAAAGTACTCTATGTGCATTGAAATCACATCTCATCAAATACAAAAAGTCGATTTAAGTGATTTTTATTTCCATTGTCCACAAAAGTGGAAAGCAACCCAAGTTTATGGAGTAAAATGCATTTGGTTGCCTCGAAACATAGTAATATTATGATACCTTTTTTTTATTATAATAGATTTTTTTTCACTTTTGTGGATACTGACAATGACACTCAATTTCGTTGTGGGGAGATCAAGTTTAAAAAGATTGTTTTCCTGTAATGATTTTTTGTAAAGTTGTGGGGGTTTAAAGTTTGCTGATCAGATTGAGATAATTTACGCGCGGTATAATGCGTTCTTATAAAACGCGTAGGCAGAAAATCAATGGATGCCAATTGTTTTGAACCATTAATTTGGTTGTTTTAGAAAACAAGAGCCGCTAAATACGCTCTTTAGGTTTTACATAGCATTTGGGGCGATAAAATGAAGAAAAAAGCAAAAGCCTACAAACAAATTGTTCTTTTTTAAAAATTTATGTGTCAATTATTCAATCAAATTTTTTATTCGATGTTAGAAAAGAACTCGTAACAATCAGGACCACGTTTTAATATACGAGCAGTCTTGTTTTATCTATCAAGGCTCATTAAATAAATTTTTTGCATGGTTTGAATCCATCCCATTCTGTTGCTTTGTGTAGTGATTTTGCAAATCGCCATTAGTAAGCATTCAGCCCATTTATAGTCTGTTTTTCTTTTCGTATTTCAAACTCCAGACTATTACTTTGTTGAATAGAGGTGTTTTTTGCTACTCAAGCCTGCTTTTTGCGTTAAAATAACCCGTTGTTCAAAACTGGCACGTTGTTTTGGACATAATTATAAGTGGAGTGAGAGCTCATCGAATTTTAAAATCGTCATTTTTTCTAAGGATAGTCTGATGCTCACCTCGGTTTTGTGCAAATCATAAATAGGGAATTGAGATATTTACCTTATCAGTTTTCTGAGTTGAACAAATGCCCGCTTTTTGACCCAAAACTTTAGATCGACCAAAATTTTCGGTTAGCCAGGTTGGATACATGAGTCAACCAGGGTCAATCACGGTCAAAGAGGGTGGATATATGGGGAGACCAGGATCAAACACTGTTGACCAGAGTCAGTTCAGGAGTCACCACTACCAATCAGATTCAAACTTAAATGTTGATACTTAAGTCGAATTTTTGTAATTAAAATATTTTGATGAAAAAGGTGCTGCCAAATTTGATTTTTTTAACGAAAAATGATTTGTCTAAATACAAAAAAACACCGACCTTTTTCTGATAAAGATTATAGAAAAAAATAATTCCAAAAAATTTTGCTTCGGGTGAAAGATAAATATTCGAAAAAATGTAAGAAAAACAAAACAAAAAAGTTTACCCGCAATGAGGCTCCAAGAATAAAAATCAATCACGGTTTGTCTCATTAAATTTCTGAAATAATTGATATCAATGGATTAATAGTCGATCATAGAAAAAATGAAGCTGAAAAAAATTTAATCCAATATTATCGATTATATTTGATTATAATGGATTATGATATATTTTATTGGATTATAATACACTTTTATGATTTAGAGCCTGGATTTTCCAAAATCTTGAAAATAAATATTCAAAACTTGAACGTGGCAATTGCTTATTTGAATTTTAAAAAGTGCTAAGGTTTGGGGGGTAGTGTGATGTGGGAGGGGGAGGGCAGTTGTGAGTGCGTGGGGAAGGCGGTTAGGTGTGGGGTGAGAGCAGTGTTGGGGTTGGAATGGTGGGTTGGGGTGGAGTAGGTGGGTGGGGGTAGGTGGAGGTGGGGTCTACGAGAGGTTGGTAAATTCGGAGTGTTCACCTTGAGCTTTAAATTGAAAAGACCTGGGTTTAAAAAGTGAGCACACAAAAAAATCAAAAAATTTGATCAAAGTCAAACAGGGTCGACATCCAAAAATCATCGGTCGAAAATCCGAGAAGTCGGCAGCGTTTGCTTAGAGAACTACACAGCCAAGAGAAGTCAGCGGTTGACTGATAGGGTCAGTTCACAGATTGAACAGCCCAAATCGGGTTCTAGCTGTGGGGCAAGAAAATAAAACAAACTTGTTAAAAAATTAGGATACCACTCGTAGTTGTATAAGAGTGTACTTAAACTAAGAATAGATTAAGATTAAGGATGATTAAGATTCCTACTAAAATCTGTAGGCTTTTATTTAAGACTAAATAAAAGACGGTGATGCTAACTAAGGTAAGAGAGGTTTAAAAGATTGAATTGGTTTCGGTTTGATTTGTTACGTATCATAAAAGATAGTGACCAATTCCGAGTCTACCAAAAGCCGTTGCGCTTTTGGCAGGTGTATAAATTAACAACTTAAAGGTCAACGATCAGTAAAGATCAGAGGTTAACTGAACAAACAATAATACTTTTACATTCCCCGCGAAAATTTATCTATAATCTATCCCTTTCGCCTCACAAGAAGAGAACAAAACAAAAGTAATTAAGCGCTAGGATGAATGACTAAGTAAGCGCATTGTCTAG